TGGTGCCCAAAATTTGCGTTTCTAACAAGTCCCTAGAGGCTGCTGATGCTGCTGGTTCAGGACCACACTTTGAGAACCAATGGTACAAAGTATAGACTGTTGAATGGAGTTAGTTCTATCACGAGGTCCTCATGATGCTTCAAACTGAACTTTCAGGGTAAAAGAAGGACTCTTTTTAGAGGCAATATTATTCAACCAGTGAAAATAGTACCTGGGAACTTTGTAAGACATGAAAAGGTATTTATAAGATTGAATAAAAAATATGACTTCAATGAGAAAATGTAATAGGAGGAAAAGTGAAATGTGCTAATTATTTTCTCTGCTGTATAAAATAGGCATTGACCTCTAGATTTTGTGCAGGTATGGTGGTTGGTGGTTAGGGTAGAAATAAACGTGTATCCTAGTCACTCGTTCATATAGAAACCATTTATAAACATTGGAGTTTGGAGTAGAAATAAATCCCTATTTATATGCGTATGAGTATCACATGCACTCATTCCTTCCACAAATATTTACGAATTCCTACTATATAACAGGCACTAGGGGAAAGACACATGTTCGTTGCCTTTAGTCTGGTGGAGGAAACAGGAAGTGAGATAAGAGCTAAGAGAAGTGTATGGAAAATCCTACGAAGGGGGAACCATTTGGTTTGGTAGATACTGAGCTCTATTTGGAACGGTGTGTATTTGGGTTGTATGTGTCTGTAACTCATGAGGGAAACCTGGGTTGGAGATGTAGACTGGCCATCCCTATCTATTTATGGGTATAAATGATTTCTCCATGAAAACAGGTGTAGTGTGAGAAAAGGAACATTAGCATTTATGGGTCAGGTAGAAGAGGAGTAGCCGGTAGAGAAGAGTGGGAGGCTGACTGTGGACTAATAGAAATGTAAAGATAACATATACAATTAAGGGCATATTAATATTTATGTTTTGAGCAATAATAACTTATTTACTTGAAATAATATGTCTTTAGTAATTTAGTCAATATGCCCTGTGAGAAAAAGCTAACATGCTAAATTACTCATAGCATGTCTTATACTTCCCGGTTAGAATCCAACCTCACTCTGTATTTTCATGTATCCTGGTGTCTTATGTAAGTAAACAAAAGATAATCCCTCACATCCCTCACAGAAAACTCTAAAACCCTAATTAATAATTTTCCTAATAGTTTTATTCTTAAGGCCATTAACTTTCAGTCATTTAGTCCTGAAATGCCATTGAAAATTACAAAGATAAAATACTACTCTACACTAGAAATGAACAAACCATTGATATTACAGCATGGATTAATCTTAAATGCATTTGCTAAGTGAAAGAAGACAGACCTAAAAGGCAAATACCACATGATTTCATTTATGTGACATTCTGGAAAAGACAAAACTTGCAGAAACAAAGAACAGATCAGTGACTTTCAGGGGTGAGGGGTGGAAATTTTAACTACAAAGCAATAGCACAAAGGACTGTTGAGAATGATAAAAGTGTTCTGTATCTTAACAACAGTGATGCTTACATGACTCTATACATTTGTCAAAACTATAAAACTCTGCACCTCAAAGAGTAAATTTTACTATATGTAAATTTAAAAATAAATAAAAGTCTTAAAATATAAATCTTTAATAGTTACCACTTCAAAGGATGCTATGGTTTGAATGTGTCCCCCAAAGTTCATGTGTTTGAAACACAATCCCCAATGCAACAGCATTGAGAGGCGGGACCTTTATGAGGTAATGAGGGTGTGAGGGCTCTACCCTCTTAAATAGATTAATGTTGTTATCTCCAGAGTGGGTTTTCTATAAAAGCAAATTCAGCTCTCATTTGCTCTCTGTTGCACCGTCTCGTGCCCTTCCATCTTCTCCCCTGGGATAACACAGCAAGGAGGCCCTTACCAGATGCAGCCCCTCAATGTTAAACTTCCCAGGCTCTAGAACCATGAGCCAAATAAACTTCTGTTTATAAATTACCCAGTCTGTGGTATTCTGTTATAGCAATAGTAAAATGGACTAAGACAAAAGGATCTTATTTAAAATAAATCCAACTTGTCATTTTATGATCAAATCATCTACACACACACAACACACACACACACTCATTCCTCTTTGTAGAAATTCCATACAAAGTTATTTATTCGCTAGTAATCTTACTCCAGGGGAGTTTGGTTGACTTTCCCAAGACAGAATAGAAGGTAGCTGTTCAACTCTTTTTCCTGAGGTGCCTCAAATTTCTACTTGTTCATTAAGAGAATTCTCCAGAGACAGATGTATTACAGCACTTTGAGAACTATATTCACACCCACTGCTGAAGAGTGAAAAGAGATAGCTCAAGGTTCCACTCTGTGAAACAATTTAGTGGCTAAATGTGTTACTTAGGAACTAAATCCAAGCAGGTACTTAAAAAGAAGCAATTAAACATGGTGAGAAATACTTCCCAGAGTATATGGGTATTTAGACTTCTGCTTAAGTCTCCCATCCCTGCATCAGTGCACACATTACACTTCAAGTACACATCTCTTTATACACTCTATTACCTCATGGCCATTACTTGCGGGTGATGAATGCTGGTGTTCACAGAACAGCGTGCTGATGCATTTTTTCCTGCCATTGTATGTAACATGTTTTCTAATTCTTTTGCTCTATTCAGCATTTGACCCCAACGATGGGGGATTATGGTATTAACTCTCTACCCAGCACACATTCTTTACAGACTCTCACTAAATACTGTAAGCCTGCTGCAGAGAGGAATAAAAGTGAAAGCATACCGTCTGGTCTTAAGCTGAGCACACAGAGGGTCGTGATCCAATTGGAAGGGAAGCAGAATTTTTAAAAAGAAAGAGGTTTGACCAAATTTTAATCCATGTCATTTTCATTTCTCTTACCCTGTGGATTTGGGTGATTTTATTTACACTGTCAGCTTGAGCCTAGGGATTGGAAATCAGGCTTTTATGGAGATTATTAAAAGTACATACAGTACACTAAAGGTTGGGCTAACTCTGATATATGCTGCTAAAAATATGAATGTGAATGCCCTGGCATTAGAAGCCACGGGCGTACATTTCATCCTCCTTAGAAGGTTATTCTTGGGAGCTGGCCCTGCTGCGATGGTAATGAGATGCAGGCTGTCAGGATATTTCTAATAGGTAGCAAATGACCAGGGATGGAGATGAATCAGCATTACTCAGATGAGAAGGTAGCTCTTTATACCATTAATTCCAATCCAAAGTAATTCCACCATCCTTCTCCCAAAAGAGAGGGCACTGTAAATGTGGGGGAGGGGAAGAGCAGAGAACTAAAGCTCCAAGGATTTATTGATGGGTTGGACACGCTGCAATGTCATCCAAGTTTCTAGGATGAGTTTCGTTGGGTCTGAGCTTCTCAGATGCATCACCAGTAACTTTCAGTTAGGTAATGTCATATAGGCTTAGGTTACAAAGATAACGTTCTGCACCTCAGTCAGAATGTTGAAGATCTCAATGGATAAAAATGAAATGGTTTATCAGATCTCAAAATACTAGGAGCATTCAATCTTTAATGAGATAGATTTAGGATCTCAAAGATGTGAAAGTACTATTTTACAAAGCAGTTGACTATGAGGGCCTTGTGTCCTTGCAAGGTTATGTATTATGACCATCAAAATAGCCTTAAACAGGTTTTAGGAGATGCATGGATAACAGCTCCATGATGGATCACTAAAATCCATGATGGATACCCCAAAAGACAAAATGGGGTATTTTAGGGAATTATTTCCAATTATTGGGGGCCAATGACATTCCCATGCCTATTTCATGGTCTCCTCAGGTGCCACAGATAGATCAAGAGTCACTGCTATGATGAAGCTTTGATATGTGTCAAATACCTAGAAATTGAGAGGAAGGTAGATGGCAGGAAATTCCAAATCTTTATTTCACCTGGAGCTCTCAAGTCTCAAGACCAGAACAATAATGTTCAGTTTAAGGACTGGGGCTGAGTGCAGTGGCTTATGCCTGTAATCCTAGCACTTTGGGAGGCCAAGGTGGGCAGATCACCTGAGGACAGCAGTTAGAGACAAGCCTGGCCAACATAGTGAAACCCCAACTCTACTAAAAGTACAAAAATGAGCCAGGCATGGTGGCACGTGCCTGTAATCCCAGCTACTAGGGAAGCTGAGGCATGAGAATCACTTGAGCCTGGGAGGCAGAGGTTGTAGTGAGCCCAAAATCACGCCACTGCACTCCTGCCTGGGTGACAGAGTGAGATTCTATCTCAAAAATAAAAAGAAAAAAAAAAAAGAAAAAAGACTGAGGTCCATGCCTCTTTGTCACCGCCTAGACCACTCACATGTAAAAATGTGCTACCCTGCCATACACCCAGGCCATGAAGAAGGGAACACAGTGAAAGGTGGCCCTTCAGTGATTTCACTCTTTGAAGCCTTAGTTCTGAACCACTTGTCCTATCTCACTTATGTTTTACATCCTAACTTGTTTATCTTTTTGGCTTCAGAGCTGGGATTTATTTTCCTTTTACAGCTTTACTCACTTACTGCCCTCTGAACCCTGCCAAAAACAAGCCACTCTCTGACTAGAATGTTTTCTTCTTAATCTCTGATCCTGACCCCTGCTCTGGCTGTACCACCTTCAGGCACACTGAGTAAATATCCCACCTGGCCCAGCCTTCCCCATGGGCTTCACCACAACAGCGTGGCCCCCGAGAATAGTTAGCTCACCAGGTGTACCCCAGCCCACAGGTATGATTTGTTTGAGGATACCAGTAAACTACCACCAGAAAGAAGTATAACGTGTCCTTTTTGTGTGATAGCACGCAAGTTTCTATGACTCTTGTCCTACTGCCCCAACCCTCCTTCATTACTATAAAAACATAAACATATACATTATGTTATTTTTTTTCAAATGAGATTTCACATGTTTTACTTACTGAATTTGCATAGCAGTTCTATGGATCAGAAACAGTAAATATGACAAGTGATTTGGCTCATATTACAGCCAGTAAATTATAGAGCTTAACTCACCTGGTCAGTGCTTAATCTACTACCCGTGTTCCCTTGGGCTGAGCACCTCTGAAGGATAGGGATCAAATCCATATGGTCACTCTGCATGGAAATTAATAAATAATGTTGGTGAGATGATGAAGTTGATAATAATTATGAGAGTCATAAATATGCTTTTTATCTTCAATTGTAGAAATCAATTTCACTTTCCTGATTTTCATACCTATATGCCTTTGCACACATTTCTTCCTGTACTTAGGAAGGCTTCCATTTGCCCTGTTTGCCTAGAAAATCCCTCTTCATCCTTTAGAAGCTGATACATACATTACCTCCTCTGCAAGGCCTTTACCTATCACTGCCCACCCCCAACTTCCAAACAGCTAGTTGTGTCATATGTTAATGGTGTCACATTTAGGAAATAATTATTTCATTATTTGTTTATATATGTTTCTCTCACCAGATTATGGACAAGGCCAGGAATAGTGTCTTATTCTTTTTTCCATTCTAAGATCTGCCATGGTGCATGACACATTATAGAAACTCAAAGAGGTTGTTTTGAACCAAATGTGAAGATGATGATGGTGATGGTGATGATGGGGTAGGGGGACAATTTCACTCCTTCCAAGAGAAAGAGCTTTCCCAGCTTTTAGAACCAGTCTTTAGTTTAGAACAGTATATTAGTCACGGAAATCAATGCAGGCCACTATCAAATACAACTTCCAAAGTATTATACCTCCAGACAAGGTTATTTCTTACTCATGAAGATATGGTGTGGGTTAGATAGATACCTTCACTGGGTGCCCCTCCTCCAAGTGATGGCTCTGAAATCTGGGATCCTTCCATTACTCGGCTCTCCCATTTTCACATCCTTTGACTCCAGCTGTTCAGATGGGAGAAAATATAGAGAAGACACACCAAGTTTAAAATGCTTGTTCTACAAGTGACAGTCATCGTTTCTTCTCACATTCCATTGGCCCATGTAACTGCAGGGTCGCCTGGAAGACGTAATCTTCCTACCTGCCCAAGGAGAGACTCAAAAATGGTGAATGCTGAAAGTCTCTTGCCATGGGTTGCCCTTCTGAACACCAAATATTCATTTCCCACTTCCTCTCACAGAACACACTCACCCCACACCAAGGGGAACACCCAAAGTCCCATTCGGTCACCACCTCCAGATCAATGTCCAGGATATCTGGGTGAGGCACCATCTTTCTTATTCATCAGTCTGACACGGCCCCTCTCAGTGCAGTGACCTTCATATGTAAAACATTAGTTGTCTGTATTCCAGATCTCCACCATCATAAACCATATATAATGGTGGAAAAATGACGAGAAAACTGCATTAAATAGTACTATTTGTAGTGGGAAATAAGAGACAAGGCACATCATGGTCCTTGGCAATGCTGAAACCTTTCTGTGCCAACATGGGAAGCTCAGATACTCTGGGTGTGGTGGAGATGTGTGGACTTGACTCTGGGAAGGACTCCTGTATTTGTTCTTCTCCTTAGCCACGTGTGAAGTAGGCTCAGGGGAGCTCATTTTCCTTCAGAGCAGTACAGTTCTAGAAGCCTGACATGTGCTTCGTCTGCAATGTGTTGGGAACTCAAAAGTTGTTTTAAGCCTGGACCAAGCAAAGGCCTTTTAAGTCCAGGCTCCTGGTTTCATTGTAATACAATTATCAGAATCTTAGATGATGTAGATCTCTTTGCTTTTAGTCAGTTCCAAGTGCCAGTAACTATACCTAGAGTTACTTTCTAAACATTGTTATCAGATTTACCTTTTTTCCTTTGTGTCTTCACCTCCATGCCTTTTTTTCCCCAACGTAATTACCTAATTACGTTGAGGCTATAAGAAACAATAGGTGAGAAGACCACACGACTAATCTGATTTTCACCTCAAATGACTTCATTCAATTGAAAACTTTTGCTAGATATTTATCACTTAAAGTCATTTTTGGTGCCATATCTTACTGTTTGAGTCTAAAAGAAATTTATTTTTTCCAACCCTACAAGACCAATATTCTATATTCTATTCTATTTCTGCTTGCAAATGCAATAATTATTTCCTGAGTCATCTCTTTCTTGTAACTTTCTTGTAATACACGAAAGAGATATTTCAACATTAGCCAATACCACTATTAAAATTCTGTTTGCTAACCATTTCCCCTAAAGGTATATACCAGGCACATGGACTAACTTCTCATTTATAGCAGCAATAGTTGGATTTATCACTACATAACATGAATCCCCATCTTTCCATTTTCTGGTATTAGTTTCCTTCCTGCCAGATGCTGTATTACTAAACCAATGATAAATACTTGGGATCATGTAAAGGTCAAGAAATATGGCTTGATTATGTCAATATCCCACTTCTGGTACCAATTTCTATACTACAGCAATAAACACCAGTTTCTGTAACAGCAGTCTCAGTGATTTCACACACAAGTTTATTTCTTCCTTATGTAGCTATCCAATGCAAGTCTAGAAGCTCTCCTTGGAGGCTCTCTTCCAAGCGATGACTCAGGAACTCAAACCAATGGCTTCTTAGCTGACTGTAGAAGAGGAAGGAAAACTGAAATATTCTTTAAGATGCTTTTAAGGGACATGACTAGAAGTGGCTTATATCCCTCTGTCCCAATTTTTTTGACCGGAACCCTGCCACATGGCCTCAAAAAAACTGCAAAAGGAGAAAACGAAGTCTTCCTGTATACTCTGGAATAGGAAATGGGATTGGTGATTTTTATGGCTATCTGTGTTGTATTACAATATGTTATTCATTTACTTGACTCCTCGTTGATGACTGAACAAACTGAGATTATCTTTCTTATCTTTCTTTTCTCAGTCACCAACTAGATACTTCAAAAATAACATTTTTATATTAAAAACACAGGTTCATCCTACTTTAAAATTACTTATGAGGATTTAATGCAAGTAAAATATTTCCCATTTAACAAATGAGACAAAATGGAAACATTGACAGGTTTCAAGGGACCCACTGTGAATTATCCAACAATCAGCAATATGGTAGTATGGCCAGGTAAGTTCGCCTGGCTCAGATAGTTGCCTAGGTGCCATGAAATAGAGTTTCTGGCTTCCCAAGGTCTGCCTGTACTTGGTACGCATGGAACCAGAAGCTCCCAAATACTCCTGTGGCATGATATAATGGTACTGAGAGGCAGGAGGACATGTGAAAGCCTGGGATTAGAACAAATTGGCTACAGAGTGTAAGGATTCTACCTCCAGAGGCAAATGGCCAGGACCATGGGCAGGACTAAGGGCGAAATCTAAAAGACACAATAAAGGAGCCACTCATCTGTGACACCAGCCCAGGGACCCAGGCAACAGACCAAACCTGTCCTGCAGCAAGACTCAGAGACCTTGCAAAGACCAGCAAAGACTTGGAGGTAACAAGCAAACCCAAGGTCCCCTGTCCCCACCACCATGAGGGTACATCCACCTCCTCCCCTGAAGGCTATTTCTCTTTCTCTCAGTCTGCAACATGTGCATTCTTTCCAATTAGTACATTCATTCACTGACAAAAAGCCCAAGTTGCTTTTCTGGTTCTTCAGCTTCTCAGTCTTCTGGCCTGAATGGTCATTGTCTGGACAAACCAGGAGCTGGGAACCTACTAGCTGGGCCACCTGGCCTGGCAGAGGTGCCTTCAGGTGCTTATCTGCTCCCTTTAGATACTGGGTGTTTCACCAGAGCCATGGACAGACCAGAAGGTAAGGTGCCATGGTCACTTGGAACTTAGCAGCTTGCAGGAGCACCTCGGGAGAGGATGCAAGTCTTCAAAAGATACTTTAAAAACAAATGCTTTCCAACATTCGGGCATCACATCCTATGGAGCATGAAGCATGTGGCAGGACAATTATGGTGGGCTTTCTGAAGTCATGGAAAAGACTAAAAATGGCTCGTTTCTCAGGACATAAGGAAAAATAGGCATTGAGCCAGTGGAAACCAAGAAGTAAGCCAAAAAGAAATGGAGGCATTTCTGCTTTTCCTTACTAGTTCCTTTCTACATTAAAAACCAATTTTACTAGCATTTTGTCAGCCAGAGTCTTCTGTAAACAAGCACTTCCAATTTCTCAAGCCAATGAAAATGGAGATTCATAAAGATGTTTTAAGAATTGCAAGCCTGAAATGCCTTGGTGCATCATTAATACAAATTAAATATGATCTGCCTTTTTAAAAACCATTCGTAATAATACTTATGAAAACTGATAATTAATATTTAGAACGTTTAGAACATCTACTTAAATATTTGACTTATGGGCCAGTTTTGCTATGGAATGTGCTAAGAATTGACTAACTAGCATCATAAAAATCCATGTACTGCAGAATTCAAAAGAGAAGATCGCATGCCAAACCTGATAATTTATTAATTGTGTGAACTTCACCAGGTCCTTTAAACTCTCTGTGCCTTATTTTTCTCATTTATAAATGAGGATAATGATATCTCCCATCCCTGGTTATTAAGCTTCAATGAGATGGGCATGTGCCCATACCTAGCACATACTTGCACAAAGGAGGCACTCAACAAATACAGCTGCTATTGTTATGATGATGATGATGATGATTTTTAATACTGCTACTACTAGCTGTGTGAGCTTATTTGAGTTCCTAACCCTTTCCTTGTTGTTCTAGCCAGCCTCTGCTCACCCTCACATTCTGGCCTTGCATACCCACTGTGGAACTCTAAACGTTTTCTCAAGTTCTGTTATCAGTCCCTCCTTTTCTCATTAAAAAAAATAATAATAAAGAGTTACTTGAGAGTGTCTGAGACTCTTTCAGAGTAACTCCCCCTCCAAAGAGACACCTCCCTCTGCCCTTGTCTTGGTTCTTCCCATCATTTCCTCTTCCTCTGGGTCAGACCTGGATAAACTTGCAGTTTCCTTCCTTCGTGCTCTCTGGAGAGCTGAGTGCTGCACACTTGAAAGCCTAAAAACTTGTCATTTCCACCTTGAACTAGTGGCTGACCTCGCCAGACAGCCTGAGAAATGAATTAGTGTCCTTAAGCGGAGGCAGAATATGAACAGTGACCCAGCTCTCCTAAGCAACCACAGAAACTGTCAAGCAGTAGTTAAAAGTTCCCTTTTTCCCAACCCCTTTAATTATGTTGAAAACTATGTCATATTGTTTTTGAAAAAGTTAATGAAATAGTAGGTAAAGGTGAACTAAGGAACATAATTTACTTGGATTTCCTTGCAAGCTTTTGATAAGGTCCCTCATAAAAGGCTATTAAGGAAAATAAATGACCAGAAGGCTGTGAGCAAAAGTCTTTCTGGTGTATTAAAAACTGGTTAAGCTATTTTAGAAGGAAGAATCCCTGATGCTGGCTACTTCTTGGAGCAGGGAAAGGTTAATCACAAACTGTCCTTAGTATTAGTATTTGGACTTCAGGTATTTGAATGATTTATAAAGGAAAAAAAGCGAAGTTGGCCAAAGACAAAAAATTATTATTATTTTTTACTTTCTTAGACTTTTATTTTTTTACAACATTCTTTTCATTTTATTTGTTTAAGCTGACAAATAAGAATTGTACATGTTCATGGAGTACATAGTAATGTTTTGGTACACATAATGTATAGTGATCAGATCAGGGTAATTAGCATATCCATCACCTCAAACATTTGTCATTTCTCTGTGTTGGGAACATTTGATACTATTCTAGCTATTTGAAACTATGTATTATTGTTCACCATAATCATCCTACAGTGTGCTACAGCACACCAGAACTTATCCCTCCTGTCTTGCTATAGTGTTTTATTCTTTAACAAATCTCTTCATCTACTCTTCTGTCCCCCTTGGAATTAACCTTTTTTTTTTTTTTAATTTAAATGAGTTTTAGGGGAACAGGTGTTGCCTGGTTACATGGATA